GAGGTTATCATCTTGGTTTATATTTTGCTATTTAGCTTAAGGCCCATAGAAAATAAGCTCTTGCATTGTTTAGTTTACTTGTTCATGTAACCCTCGTAGTATGAGAAAGCACTTAAGATAATATTCTCCTATGCTTTCCAATGAATATTATAATAAAGCTATAAAATAAATAATAATTAAAAAACAAATGTCTAAGTCAAATTATATAAACAACAAATCTTGGGTAATCAGACAATGGAATTATAACATACAGTTTTTAAGAAACGGGTGCTACTTTTTATGATAGTTTATATTTTAAAGTGTTTTCAGAGCTTCACAAAAAATTCTGCTGTAGGGATTATTTATATTAATAAATACAAAAAATACAGAAGCTTATGTCCTATATGTATTGTAAAACAAAAAGTGGTAAGGGGGAACCAAAAATATTTAGAGCTATTTTGGTTAAAACAACCTCTTTGGGAGGTTAAAAAGAATCTGTTTCTATGTACTACTTCAATGCAGATTGCAGAATCTAAGCCAGAACCAGGGTATAGACTTCGTTTTTGAAGTGATTAATTTAATGATTATTATAAATGATGAAAAATTTTAAACTATACTAGATTTTGCATAGTCCATCTTGTTCTTGAGGCCTATAAAATGCTGAAACTTTTTCTTAGGGGAGTGGGAGAACTTAATTAAATCCTTGAGCCACTTATTTACTTTGTTATTATGGTATCTATAATAAAAAATAAGTAGTGTAGTACGCTGAAAACTTAAACATTAAGAGAATCTGTATGCTGGCCAAGATTTCCTGCTAGCTTCCTCATGAGTTGATACTTCCAGCAGTTAAAAAAACCTTTCAGTGTCAGTCATCTGCTCCACAAAGAATTGCACCTCATGACTGACAGTTTTCATATCAGCTTGGAATTGACCAAGGAGCTCTTTAAACACGTTATGACAGAAACAATCTGTGCCAGCTTCAGCAGGGTTAGCCCATGACATCACCAATGTCAAATCTCAACATCAGGTACAGGAAAAAGTGTAATGTTCTTGAACAGGCCTTGTATTGAAGGAGGGGGGAAAAAAAAAAAAAAAAAGAAAATATATGTTTGCTACTGCTATTCTTTGTGCTATAACAATGTGAATCAAGAGAAGTAGCTTTTGCTCTTGAAAGTATAAACTGCAATAATAAAAGATACTAGTGTTTCACTAAGTGAATGAAGCACTTACATACTATCAATATTCAGTGCTATAGATACAAAAATTTAAAAGAGAAGCTGGGTGCTGATTTGGATTGCGTGCTATAAGCAAGCATGCGTCTTCTGTAATTGGGTTTGTAAAGGTATGGCCTTATGATCATGAAGAAAAGACTGCAGGAAAGAAACTGAAGATTAAACTATATTCGAAAAAGAATCGGAAGAAGTGACATTTGTGCAAGTGTTAGACAAGATCTGAGAATACAGCAGTAACACTACTTAAAAGAATTTCTGAATTCTCCCAAGATTTATTAATATCCATTCCCAACTAAATTATTTTCCTTGGGGGAGGAGCCAACCTCAAATGAATCAGAGTAGATAGAGACTAAATTTCTAAGGAAGAACATTTTGGGTAAGGAATATATAGGGGAATAGTATCAATCCTTCGAAAACATTTCAAGTAATTTATAATCTAAAGTGAGCCATCTGGTGGTAAGCATTTACTTGCAAATTGGGATTATATGCTGTGCAGTAGTGGTGCCAGAAGAAGGTGCTCTGAGATTAAGGAGCGGCATTTATCTCTGTAAATGTTGTAGAACTTCCCTCAGAACCCTTGCATAAAATAGACTTTGCTGGTTGCTTTTGAGCCTGGATACAATTGGGACTAGATCCTGTGGAAGAGTTGAGTATGTACAAATTAGGTTTTGGATTGTAATCTGGAAGATTTTTGTCTCCTCAACTCCAGCCAGTGTATGAGGAAAGGTGAACACCCCTGCACAAGACTCAAACCCACATGCTACCTGGGGAGGTGGTTGAAATAGTCCCAATGAAGCCTAAGGAAATGTGGTATGTCTATAATTATACTCTTAACTGGGGGCTGAGACATTTCAGTTCTGTTGGGATAGAGTCTTCTCCCAAACAAATAATCATATTTTTTAAATAAAGTTTTTAAAACTTGCTCTATTTTGTTTTTTTCTTTCAAATGGAAATGATGTCACCTACATTTATTATGCTAATTTAAAGAAAATAATACCTACTGCAATTGGCTCCTGAAAGTGTCTGAAACTCTTTAGACTGTTTTCCAGAAGAAAGTCCCAATTAGCTACTAGCCAGGCTTTAGAGGCATACATCTGATGCTCTCTGTTCTTCCTGTGTGACTTCTGCATTCTCTTCTGCCATTTGAGGTGGTTTTAGCAGGAAAGAGCTGCAACTGTCTTTATCCAAATAGAGCTTAAATGTAGGGCACTCAAAATCAAGGGCATAGCTATGGGAATGCCTGGTTTCTGGATTAAATGAGACAAATGAAGGAGAGTAATACCAGACTTAGATGCTTACTTATGGACATTTACATGTTTATGTATTTATGTATGTGAACATATATGTATGCATGGAAATAAAACTTTAGTAATTGCTGCAGGACTTTAAAGTCAATCATGGACACAACAAACGACCTTTGTGTCTCCAAAATAAGGTATTAGACAGGGTAAAACGGCACTGAAGACACAATGCTCAATCCAAGGAATGTTCTTTCTCATGACAAAGTAATAAAATCTATGCATGGTATGAGACTGTGCCATCAAAAAGGCAATGTTGCCATGCAAAGTAGTCTTACTTCCATTAAAATTTTGTGATAAGAATTCACGAATGTGGGCATCAGATCCTTCTTCCACCTTTTTCCTCTTTTTTTTTTTTTTTTTTAAGGGAGAACCTCTAATCTATGTCTGTAGGCCCATTTTTGTTTTCAGTAAAGTTTCTTGCAAACCATGGAAAAAGAAAAAAAAAAACCAACTCATTTTATTTCTCAGTTTTGAGAATCTTATAAACTGCAGGGCAGCTGATGAGAAGAAAAAGGAATTGTATATGCAAGCTTATAAGAACAGGTTATCTTTAAATTCAGGCACAATTCACATATGTACATAGCAAGGAGGTACTTTTCACATTGTGAGCTTAAAAGACTGCAGTATTAAGTAAAATAAATGCAAAATAAAATACAAAAAATTGGAACAGGTTGCCCAGAGAGGTGGTGGAGTCTCCTTCGCTGGAGATATTCAAAACCCGTCTGGATGTGATCCTGGGCAATATGCTCTAGGTGACCCTGCTTGAGCAGGGAGGTTGGACTAGATGATCTCCAGAGGTCCCTTCCAACCTAAACGATTCTGTGAAATCCATCCTTTCTCGTTAGCATACATTGCTTTTTCATTTTGTTACTTGGTTTGACAGCTAAATAGTAAGATTGTCACGGCTCTTATGTTCATATGATTTATATATGAGCACGCTAATGTCAGAATATTGGCCATTTCCTATACAAACATGGTGTGATCTAAAGGAAATTGCTATATATTAAGTTTTAATATAAATAAGAGCAGGTCACTAAACTAAATAATTAATTTAATCAGTTAAGTCCAAACAATGCTGTTCTTACATTTCATATTGCTAGCATTGGAGAGAAAGATACATGTATGGATATAAAAGACTTTTCTCGAAGTCTTACATAGACTAACTGTGAAAGCTCTTAATTCTTTATTAAAAATTGTCTCATTGCAACTATGACTGTTTATATTCAGAAGAAAAGAGTGCTGTTGCTATTACCCTTCTAGTATTCCCTATAGGAAGAAGTATGGTTAGATGCCTCTAAGAATCTGATTGACCTTTCCAAAAGTGTACATTTAATTCCTCATAGACTTCTCTTTAGTTCTGAACATAGCCTATTCCTTCTGTGTAATTACTCTGGGACTAGCTTCAGCTTTGCTAATTTGTCCTCAGTGAGAGATATCCTTTAGTATTTGTCTGTTTGTTTCTGGGTTTATTGCAATGCAGTTAAGTTTGAGAGGCCTAAGGTGATGCTCTAAGGGATCAAAAGCAAGGCAATACCATGTGCTAATTAGAAATGGTGTAACAAGTAATCTCCTATTTTGTTTTATTCTATCGTGGGGAATTTCCTTGGAGAAGAAATGTCGAGGCTCGGGCTAGCTCAATTTTTCTGATTGTTTTGTTAATATCCTTTTCTTCTTCTGCTAATTTGTATCTCTGCATGTCTAAAATGTCCTTTGATCATCTCTTTTAGATGAATATTCTGAAATTTTCTGTTTTTCATAACCTAACTGGATGTTGTGTTAATGCGTAAAGTGAACTAGTTCTACATAGAGTGGTAGAGCTTCAAAGTAATGCTGTTGCAGAATGAAATGCTAAATCCTTCTCTCCATTGAAGTCAGTGGGCCTTTCTACTAAGATTTTGCTCTAAGGTACTTATAAACAAAGAGCAAAACATTAAAAAATATATATATATATATAAATCTTCATTTTCTTTCTTCTTCCAGCAGTAATGAAAGATTTGGCTCAGAAACTTTGGAAGCCAAATTCCAGCTTTAAATTTCCACTTGTCATTGCCAGGTACTAACTCTAAAATATCTCTTTTTACTGAGAACCCTTCCAAAAGGTGCAGCTGTGTGCTGGTTTCATCTTGCACTTTGTAGCTGTGTTGGCAACCCTTAAACGTAAGGTATGCTCTCATCTCCCACACATTGCCGTTGCCTTAGTGCTGTTCAGGCCTGTCTGTATGAGGGAAAGTGAAGAGCTTGCAGATTGGAGGAACCCTGACTTGTGGTTCTTCTCATTGGTTCTCACTGTGGCAAGGTAAAAATAGAGCCAGTGGAAAATGCAGCTTTTACGATGTGTCATCAGAGGCTTCCTTGCTGTCTGGAGACCTATTCCCAGACTTGTGACTCGAAAGAAGACACGGAAACTGTATGACAGCTTTTCAGACCCTTAATCTTTTAGAGACGGTGGGATTTCCAAAAAATTACAGGATTTCTTTGGGGGGAAAAAATGATTACTCTAAGTGAAAAACTGATACTGGATTGTAGCAAAGGGATCTCGAAAGTTGCTCAGATTCTTAAAAGTGGATTTGGTTCTCCAAACCTCTGTGCTGTGCTACAGCATGCTTCAAAGCAAAAGATACTTTTGAAATCAGGTACTAAATGTAGCCTGCATGTGGGATTTTATTCTCTTTCCTTTTACTAAAGGTGACATATATGAAAGGTTTTCCTTTCCATCTGTTAATCTCTTAGTATGCATGCTGTATTTTCCTTTCAGAACATCTAATCTAGAATCTAGACTTTCTTTAAGGATATCTTGTATTCTGGCTCCAGAAGTCAAATTGTTTTTTTTCCTAACTTAGCTATAGTTTTCTTCAGTTTAGCCTCTGCCGTTTCCTGTCAGCATTTTGAAAATGAAGGGCACTGTGCCCAAATTTAGCTGACGTCTGTGTAAACGTTATAAAATGGCTTCAGTTCCACGAGTGCTCTTGAGGTTTTCTTTTGACAGATACGTGCTTTCTGAGGCCTTTCAACTTTAAATGTCCATCATTTGCTATTTTGTGCAAAAGGTGGAAAGTTTATACAAATGGCACTGTGATGCTATGGATATTTTATATGGGTAATGACAGTAATGAATAGGAAATCCTAGAATGGTGGGAGGCTAAATAATTTTAATTTGTTAATAGCATCTCCTAAGTGCTTTTAAAGTGAACATTTTTTTTTCAAAATTATTGAGCACTGTAATTAGATTTCTTAATTGTATTCTTCTTTGGTTACTGTGTTGAAGGTAAGTATAGGTTTTGTTATTGCTACTGTATGTGTGTGTCTGTGTGTATCTTTTTGCTATAGAACTGTTACTCACTAGTGTATGCTTAGTATTAAAAGGGAGGTGAGTATCCTGAGGTTTTAGTCAAATTCATAAGTATTTTATGTTGAAGTATTTACAGAATAGATTGTCATTATTTCAAAGGCTCTATTCATATCTAAAAGTTCACTAGTTTCTCTGGTAGATGGAAACTGCCTGTTTTGGGGAAGAGGAATGGGATACAGGGAGGAAGAGAAGAAATCAGAACTCCTCTGAACTCCCAGAATGTTAATGTTTTTTCAGTTACATATTTTAGGGCAGGAGAGAAGTGAAATCTTTCATTTTAACCAGTCTGAGGTTTGCTCTACATCCGCATGGTCTGTTGACTTCCCTCCTCTGTCTGTTTCTCCTTCCTCTCTCCCTTCTTTCCTCAGTTTCAGTTTAGACTATTAGTTACAGGTTGCCTCCCTCAGCAATTATGAGATGAACGTCTTTGTTCAGAGATGATGCGGTTTCATTGCTGCTATTTAAGGGGAGAAGGGCGCTTCATGTAACTTGCTACCTAAGGAGCAGAAGGTCGTTTTCATAAGTAAAATATGTAAACTCTGTTCTTAAAACCTGCTCTTCCTTTGCTACCATGTAGGGGATACAATTTATGCCTTTATTATTCTGTGAGTCTATTAGTATCATAATATGAATATTTTCATAGCATACCCTTTGTTATGACTCTCATTCGATCCTCTAATTTGATTCTTTCAGTGGATTTGACATTATTCCAAGAGTGATTCATAGTTTGATGTCAAAAGGGACTATTTGACCTGACTATTACAGATCAAATAGTCTGTTTTTCAGCATGTCTCGTCAAGGGCTGGACTACGGAGTCTTGCATTTGAGCTCAACTTGTGTTTGGTAAAGCAGAAATGGATTTGAAGAGATTAAAAAAAAAATCTTCCATAGGTAGTTTGTTCTGCATTAGTAACTGTTGTAGAGATTGGCTGGTTGGCTAGATCTTTATCTATTTAACACGTGCTTTTAAGCATGTGTTTAAGTTTCAATCAAAATGTTACACTGAGTCAAATATCTGTCAAAACTTCAGAGTTATTATGATTACTCATTTGCATTTTTCAGCTAACTATGATCCACTTAAGCCATCAAGGAAGGAAGTAGTGTGGTTTTTAACAGGACCCATCCTCCATGAACCTATGCAGGCAATCCCTAGTTACAGTGCTGTCTTTTACTGCTTTATCATATGAGTCTAGTATCAGGTTTTCCATTATTTTGTCCAGGATTGATATTATAACTAGGATGTAGTCATCAGGGTCATCTTACTTGTCTTTCGGAGTGCCGATAGAACATTAGACCTCTTTTGTTCCCCTGGAATTGCCCTGATTTTCCATGATTCATTAAAAAGTAACAGCAGTAGGCCAGAAATCTCCATAGGCAACTCTTTGGGACTCCTGAATGCTCATTTTCTGGGCCTCCTAAGTTAAGCTGTTATGATTAACAGATGTTTTTCTAATGTCCTTCTCAGTTATGAATGGACTGGAAAGTATTTAATCATTATCACACCATCTTTCCATCATTCTGCTTCTTTTTGCAAGGGACATGTCTCAATGTCCAGTATGTTCCACTTCCATTATTAGTTCAAAAATATTCATTATTTATTATCTTTAACTTCTTTCCTCAGTTTTCTGCACTTCCAAACCTCTTCTGTATATTCCTTGCTATCTTTCCCATTTTTAAATTATTTGCATTTTTAAAAAGGTATCTAATTTCTGCCTTCAAAATAGTGTGAATTCTCAGCCAAAATTGTTTTCTCACTTGTAGTATATTTATTTTTTTGACCATCTAAATTTTTTTCATTAAAAGCTCTCTTATCTCTATTCATATTTTGCTCTTTTTCCTCCTAATTAGTTATGCTCATGATTTTGTTCAGTTTCAGCTTCTAGAAGTACAGTGTGTGCAATATGTATGTATGTTTGTATACATATGCATGCATGCACATATATGCATGCATGTTTAAGAATGCTCTCTATTTGTGTATGATGAATTTAATCGGGCAAAGATCGCCATCCCCCAGGCAACTGGCAACTTTTGCTTCAATGATTAAGCTATGTTTATCAATCATAATCCATCAAAGTATGCCAGATGTTTCTGGCAGCAGTTTAATGAGAGTATGTAAATGCTCTTGCTTTCCAAGAATTAAATAGGACTGATATAAAACTTTGAAATAATTATTTTGGCAAAATTAGTAATGTTTAGAGATATATCATCCCTCATATCACAGAGCCAGAATGCTCCTTTATACAGTGTGTTCTTTCAGTGAAGAAATTGCATCATGTAAAAACTGACTTTGTACAAAATCAGTATGCAGGTTTGAAGCTGCAGGATGTTCCTTTCAGATCATCCCGCTATTTATTCTTCATCGATCATTGTACAAAACAAAATTCTTGCTTCAAGAAAACTGTGTTGTTAATACTATTAAGCTTGAAAATTGAAAACAAACTGGAATTGTCACTGAGCTTTTGTATGAGTATTAATACTTGTTTTGACTGCTATTTCAGGCAGGGGGAGCAGCAGCTCCCAGATGGTGATGTGTTTAGCTCCCTCTTCTGGTGCACACTGGATATAAATGTTTCAGGACCAAAAAACTATTTTTCTCTTCTTTGCATTGTTTTTTCTACAGATTGCAAACTTTTGTTATATTATCTTTTCTCTGTTAATATTAAGGGTGATTCTAAGAGTGATCTAGCTCTCTAAAAGAAGATGCCATAAAAATGCAATTGTCATAATTTTTATTCAGCTTTTGGACAGCTATGTGGTGTTCTCATTTAGGCCTGAGAAGTAGGATGTTTGCACTGTCTTTCACAGCTGATAAAATGAATTTGTTCAGTGTTTAAAAATTAACTGGTTGCATTATGTGTCATGACTTTCATAAAAGGAAATCACATTCAAGTGCAGCTTGGCTTATTTTTCTTATTTTTCTTTTACAGCTTTTTCACTTCCAGATCTTACGGAGCAGTTTTCACCTCCTGATGTTGCTCCACCAATCCTTATCAAGATAGTGGAGACAATTGAAAAGAAAGGTAGGCTGATGAACGGCCTAAGAAGGTTTTTGTTACTTGTGTTAGCCAAGACGGCAATCAGATTCAGAGCTGGCATCTCCCATTCCTTGAGCTGCTAATGCATCACGTTACTCAACTGATATGAAAATAATCTAATTTAAGGTTTACTGTGTTGGTTTCTGCTGAACAGAGGCTGCTTGTATTATAGCAGCAATAACAAGCTTACCCCAAATGACCTTTAGTAACTCAACTAATGTAAGTTTTACTGAAAGTGATGGGAGAGTTGGTTTTGGTTTTTTTTTTTTCTGATAGATGAACACCTCAAGTTGCTCATGGAAACAGCATCGTAACGTTGAAATGGATACAAGGCTGAACAAGTGATGTGTTACCCCAAAGCAGGAAAAAACATTAAGTATGGAAGAGTTACAAGGACTGTTTTTATACTTCAGGAGTAAATTCTTTATTGCTGTTGTCTGCTGAGCCAGTTAGTGTTAGCTGCACGGTTTTTGACTCTCCTGCTTTCCCGTGGTCATGCCTCTCGATGCTTTTGAGACTCTCCCCTTTCTTCTAGTGTGCCCTGTCCCTTTTGCTCTTTATCTTTTATCACAGAATCACAGAAAGGTTGAGGTTGGAGGAGACCTCTGGTGATCATGTAGTCCAACTACCCTGCTCAAGCAGAGTCACCTAGAGCACGTTGCCCAGGATTCTGTCCAGACAGCTTTTGAATATTTCCAGGGATGGAGAGCTACAACCTCTCTGGGCAACCTGTTCCAGTGCTCTCTCACCCTTCCAGTAAAGACATTTTTCCTCATGTTCAGGTGGCACTTCCTGTGTTTCAGTGTGTGCCCGTTGCCTCTCATCCTATTACTGGGCACCACGGAGAAGAGTCAGGCCTCTCCGTCTTGACACCCTCCCTTCAGATACTTACCCACATTGATCAGATCCCCCCTCAGTCTTCTCTTCAGGCTGAACAGGCCCAGCTCTCTCGGCCTTTCCTCAAAGGAGAGATGTTCTAGTCCCTTAATCATCTTAGTGGCCCTTCGTTGGACTCACTCCAGGAGCTCCATGTCTCTCTGGCATTGGGGAGCCCAGAACTAGACACAGCACTCCAGGTGAGGCCTCACCAGGGCTGAGTAGAGGAGGGGGAAGACAGATCCACCTCCCTTGACCTGCTGGCAACACTATTGGCCTTCTTGGCCACAAGGGCACACTGCTGGCTCCTGGTTAACTTGTCCACCAGGACTCCCAGGTCCCAGGTACTGGACCCAGTATTGACCCCTGAGGGACACCACTAGCTACAGGCCTCCAACTAGACTCTGTGCCACTGATCACAACCCTCTGAGCTCTGCCATCCAGCCGCTTCTCAATCCACCTCACCGTCCACTCACCCAGCCCACACTTCCTGAGCTTGCCTATAAGGACGCTATCAGAGACAGTGTCAAAAGCCTTGCTGAAGTCCAGGTAGACAACATCCACTGTTCTCCCCTCATCTACCCAGCCAGTCATTGCATCATAGGAGGCTATCAGGTTGGCTATCATGTCTTCCCTTTGGTGAATCCGTGCTGACTACTCCTGATCCCCTTCTTGTCCTGCACATGCTTAGAGATGACATCCAGGATGAGCTGCTCCATCACCTTTCCAGGGACTGAGGTGAGGCTGACTGGCCTGTAGATCCCTGGCTCCTCCATCTCGCTGTTTTTGAAGACTGGAATGGCATTGGCTTTCTTCCAGTCCTCGGGCACCTCCCCTGATGGCCATGACCTTTCAAAGATGATTGAGAGTGACCTAGCAGTGGTGTCTGCCAGCTCCCTCAGCACTCGTGAGTGCCTCCCATCAGGGCCCATGGACTTCTGGGTGTCAAATTTGCCTAAATGATCTCTAACCCAATCCTCCTCTGCCAAGGGAGAGTCTTCCTTTCTCCAGACTTTGTCTTGTGTCCAGGGTCTGGGATTCCTGAGAGCTGGCCTTAGCATTAAAGACTGAAGCAAACAAGGCATTCAGTGTCTCTGTCTTTTCTATATCCTTTGTCACCAGGGCACCTGCTCCACTTAGTAGCGGGCCCACATTTTCCATAGTCTTCCTTTTGCTAATGATGTATTTGAAGAAGCCCTTCTTGTGTTCCTTGATATCCCTAACCAGATTCAATTCCAAATCGGCCTTGGCCTTCCTCGTTGCCTCCCTACATACTCTGCCAACGTTCCTATACTCCTCCCAAGTGGCCTCTCCCTGCTTCCACCTCCTGTGCACCTCCTGCTTATGTTTGAGTTTTGCCAGGAGCGTCTTGTTCATCCATGCAGGTCTCCTGCCCTTTTACTCGACTTGTTGCTCATTGGGATGAACGATTCTTCAGCTTGGAGGAAGTGATCCTTGAACGTTAACAAGCTCTCTTGGGCGCCTCTTCCTTCTAGGGCCCTATCCCATGAGATTCTTCCAAGAAGGTCCCTGAAGAGGCCAAAATCTGCTCTCCTGAAGTCCAGGGTTGTGATCCTACTTATTGCCCTTCTTCCTCCTTGCAGAAACTCGACTGTCTCATGATCACTGCAGCCAGGGCTGCCCCCAACATTCACATCTCCACCAGCACTTCCTTGTTTGTTAGTACAAGGTCCAGCAGCACACCTCTCCTTGTTGGCTCCTCTTTCAGAAAGTTATCCTCAATGCTTTCCAGGAACCTCCTGGATTGTCTCCTGGATTGTGTGCGCCTTGCTGTGTTGTTCTTCCAGCAGATATCAGGGTGGTTAAAGGCCCCCATGTGATCATGAGGGTCTGTGATCATGAGGCTACTTTCAGCTGTCTGTAGAAGGCCTCATCTGCTTCCTCTTCCTGATCAGGTGGCCTGTAGCAAACACCCACAACAGTGTCACCCATGTTAGTCTGCCCTATAATCCTTACACATAAGCTCTTGACCTGCTCATCATCCACCCCTAGGCAGAGCTCAATATATTCCAGTGGCTCTCTCACATAAATGGCATCTCCCCCACCTCGCAGCTAACAGAGGCAATGAACAGATGCAGCAGTTTGTGCAGCAGTGACAGGGATCTGCTTAGAACTTCTGAGAACCTTATTGGAAGTTGTGGGAGGGCTTTCTGGGGACCCTCTGAGTAACTAGAGGGTGATTGCTGCAGATAGGTAAGGAGAGCTAGGCAAGGACAGCTACAGGAGGCCTTAACTTCTCCTGGGAAGCTCTAGCTAGGCGTAGCTGCTGCTAAGGAGCTCTGTTGGTTGCCCGATCAGAGGGAGTTGGGGCCTTTGTTCCAGCTGGCCCTCGACTGGGGTGGGTCAAGCACCCTGAGTCGGTGCTAGGGAGAGGCCTATATAAGAGTCTCGGCTTCTCTGACAGGCAGTCCTCGTACAGCAAGGAGCTGCCCACATGGTCCTGCTCTTTCAGTGGCCTTACAGCCTGGGAGTGAGTGGGAAAGTGGTACTCTAATCTGATTCAAACTGCTGTTCTTGGGACAGCAGGACCTCACATAGTGCTGTGACTCTTCAAGAGAGTGCATACTCTTATCAAATGAGTAGGAGCTTGCTAATGTCAATGAGAGAGGCCAGTGTTCAGTGACAGCTTGCATAAGCAACCACAGCTTCCAGGAAGGCCCACTGGCACTGTTAAAGCATCAGTGTTCTGGATTCCTGGCTGTGCTCCCTTTCCACCTGCCTTGTGTATTTTTTCTGAAGCAGGGAAACAACTCTGAAGTTGTAAACGATACCTCTCACATAGGACATAAAAAAATTGTATTGATGTCTTTTTTTCAGGTGGATTCTTAGACATATTATGTGACATAAACAGACACAATGATGTGACACACACCCTGCATACACTGTGAGGTTTGGGGCTCTCTTGATAGTCAAAGGCAACGTAAGAGTTAACCATCCTGTAGGAGGGCCTTTCTGTCTCTATTGACTACATAAGGTGCCAAAGACTAGACATGCTTGTAACTTACAGGTCTCAGTTAAGTCTTCAGGCTAAGTAGGATGTGTCAGAATGTGTGCATTGTCCCTGTCTCATTCCTGTAGTGGTGCAACTCAAACTTCTCACCTCTTATGCAGCAGAGGTGAAACAGCTGCCGTTTCTACGTTTCCCCATCACCTTTTCTTATCCCATTTGAAGACAATTGTGAGAGACCGACGCTGTGACATCCACTTAAAAGACCTGCTGTTTCCAGCTAGCATGTAGAGTGTAAAGAAAGATCTGGGTGCTCCCATATTGCTCCTGCAAGCTGTCTTCTTCCCTGGGATATGTGTATCTGTTTCCTAGTTCTGGCCTTCTACAGTTAGCCCATGGAGAGTTGTAAGGAACATGTGGGTCTACCAGGATCACTGATCCTTCTTTTCTGCAGACCCAGCAGTTTGCATGTACAAAGAGGTATTTGACTGCCCTGAAATACAATCACATTCAGTATTTCAATATGTTGTAGGAGAATGGTGGTGGGAGAATGATAATAAATTATACTGTTTTTGAAGAAAACAGAAGTATGGTGTTTCATGGCAACAATCACAGGAATATTAATATATCCCCTCGATTTGTTTTGAAGGTCTGGAGTGTTCGACTTTGTATGGAACACAAGGCTCAAGCAGCACAGCAGAATTAAGACAAATTCTTGAATGTGGTAGGTACAGCTCTTCCTTGAAGCATTAGATAGATTTTGTGGTCAGATTGATCATGTTTTCTCTGCTCTTCTACTCAGCTTATGTATGGTCTGGTTCTGAATGATATAGTATTATAAAGCTCAATTTAAGGGAAAAAGCTTTGTAACTTTTACACTTAACATGAAAGGTATTTTTCACTTGTTCAGTTTGCATATTTTTTTCAGGGCTCCACTACCTAGTTGTTTTTCCAGGAATAATTATTTTAACAATTTTTTGGTCACTTGTTCAAGGACTAAAAATCTAGCTGTACCAAAAAAAAGTTGTTTTGCTGAGAAGCAAGATAAAGATACACTATTCTTGTAAGGCTGCAGGTTAATATTTTGTAAACGAATGGACAGTTTGTGTATGTACAGACATGCAGTTCTGTGCATGCATTTGTTTGTGCACCCTTTCTGATTCCTTTCATCCAGTGACTGGGGAGGCAATAACTGAACACTCCCTCCCCGGCACGGAGATGATGGTGGAAGGGAAAGAAAAAGAACTGATATTGCTGCAGTAGGCAGGGTTCTCGGGTTTTGGACAGTAACATGCAGCTACACCACTAACACCACATACCTGTTCAACTTTTCTGATACTTCTTTTTCTTTTGGTACACTTTTTTTTCTCCAATGCCAGAGTAAAGTGGCATGACAGCACTCAGCTGCACTGTGAGAGATCAGGAGCTTTGCTGTTGTAGTGAGAGTGCTTGACCGCGCCTTTGCAAGCCGAGGTGGGGTGCGGGTGTGAGCTTCCGGTTGCATAGAAGAGCGTGAAAATACAAGGGCCAGGAGATGAAACTGGTTACATGCAGTCTTGCCAAAGGGGCAAAGGAAGCAAACTCAAACCATGAATTCAGCACTCTTCATTTTTAGTAATTGGCGAGTGTTAACAAAATGAACTAGAGATGATATTTTGAGCTGACTGTTCTTTCAACTCAAAAGAGCATCCTGTCCTCTGCTGATTTTGGTGGGAGGGAAGAAGTGTATGTGTGCAAGCAGGGAGAGGAGCTAGGCATGCGGTGCTAGCAGTCAAAGCATTATTTTTAGTATTGTAATTTTATTTTTCAGTACAGGTAAATCCAGACTTTCCAAGGCACCAATGCAAAAGTATCTCTTAGTTTATCTGAATCCCTTGTTAAGTGTCTAAACTGAAGTGTACTTTTATGAAAGGTTCATTTATCTCCTGAGATCAAGAATTTGTGGTTTACATGTGTTCTTATTTAAAATGCAATTATGTTTGAGAAAACGAAAATAGGACTTTACCCTTTAGTAACAGAGTATCTTTCTCTCTTCTTCTTAAGATAGGATCCAAATCTTCCAGGACAAAGCCGATATAGTGGGTCTCCAGACAGATGGATATAAACAGCTCTGATGTCCTCTGCCTACTCTCTGAGTTAACAGAGCGCAAGTCAGTTTTGTTCTCAAAAGTTGTGAGCTGTATTAGTGTGCTGTTGTGCTTATGGTTAAAATGCTCTGTGTATTAATTGGATAACTGCCTTTTAGCTTCCATACAGTGCTATCTGGCTCTGAAATCAAAGCTGACTTGCATCTGGCCATCTCAGCAGACACAAGACTTCAGATCTGTTTATGACGTTACATCCAAGGAGTTGTGAAGTACCAGGAGTTTATTCTTACTAAAGCTTTGATTGTAATAATTTGTGATATACTTCAGAGAATGGTTCAACGCCAAGAGAACCAGAATTTAACTCAATTTAGGAAATAAAAAAGTGTGTGAGCTGGAGAACTAATGAAAACTATTTCCTGTAAATTTGTGGTTGGATTCTCTCATGCCTAGTTACACTTGCATCATTCGTACCCAGGCTACAGCCTTTTATTCATAATGTCCTTGTTCCTGTGTGGATTCTTTGGTGTCTAATAAGGACTGCAAGCTTTCCTTTGGGCAAAACAGGAAAGAAGAGGAGGAGCAGTACTAAGTGTCTCACTGTCCTCACTTTGCTGCCTTTTTTCATGGACACGCCATATATCTGAGTCCTCTGTTGAGTTTGCTTCAAAATGGCCAAATGGGTTCAAGAGTTACTTTACTGGGGACCTGATTAGCCTAAAAAGTCAGTCAGCATTAATAACTCTAAATTCTTACATAGATCTTTCTGTAATCCTTTGGGTCTTTTCTGGACCAGTTTCATGTTTAAGAGGAAACCCAATCTTGCTTGCACTAAGCAAGCATTTCTGAATTTACCTACTTATATTTTTGCTGCTTGATATTCAGCTGGTCCTGTATGTGACAGGCTGAAACCTTAGCTCGAGTCGTAAATATACTGGAAGGACGCCAGGCTTTACAAGAGAAATCCTAACTGCTGCATAAAACACCAAGCACCCAATTCTGCAAGTGCATATTTGTTTCCACTTACTATCATAAATATTTACAGATTTGGGGCCTCAAGTTGTTAATGTAGCTTCTAGTCATAATAGAAGTAGCTACTAGTAGAAAAGCTACTAGTTTGACCAAACCCTTGATTAATACTTCTTAGGCAAAATATTTACAGGTAAAACACAAACCTGTTAAAAATATTCTGATGTTCCATAACATTGCCGACATAGTGCAAGTCACTACCACCATTATGAGTTCAGCCCTGCAAAGCATATGGCTGGAGGCCACATGTGGCTCTGGAAGCCATTTCGTCCATCAGATACCAAGAGCCTGTGCATTGTGTTGAGCAGTGTATATTCTTGATCTTAAAGATGTGTCTTGGTATCTTAAAATATTTATTACGAGTTGTTCCCTGTAAACCAGATTCAGATTAGCAGTTTTGGCTTGGTATAAAGTGCTAATATCATGAGCCTCTATATTTTTCCGGTTTCTAATATCTGAAAAATATGTTGTTCTTTCCCTTTAGATGCCTCTTCGTTGGATTTAGAAACATTTGATGTGCATACTTTATCAGACGCTCTCAAGAGGTATCTCCTGGACTTGCCAAATCCCATCATTCCAGCAGCTGTTCACAGTGACATGATTTCTGCAGCTCAGGGTATGAATATCAAATATTTCAAACATCAAACAAAAAAGCTTTTGTTAGAATTCTGAGTATCCAGTGATTCAGCTGAATCTTTGTCTCCCAAAAAATATAAAGATTCTGCATACCCTGGCAGAATCTCAGAAAAAATATATACATTCACTGATTTTGATGAAAGTTACTTCAATTCAAATCTGGAGATGTATTATTTACTTCTCTATTTATGCAAAAATAATGGAAAATATAAGGGTTAACACAGTTCTCTGCCTTTTAATAAGTAGAATAGCTATAGAAGAAACGAGGAGGAAAAAATCAAGGACTTATCTGTATGCAGAAAGCTAATTTTTAACTTTTTATCAGTGCTGACAAAGTAAATGTATTAGAGGTCATGATGTTCTGCAGTATGTTGGGAGTTACGGATTATGAAGTGACAAATGCATTCATATAAGATTCATCATCTACACAGTGGTCATTTCAAACAAGTGCAGCTTACAGGCTTTCAGCACGTGGGCCAAGTACTCTGTTGTATGTCTCAGGACAGGATATTGTTACTGGTAACCTTCAAAGTTAGAACAGCACCTGTGAGACTTATCTAGTGCATCTCAGAATTACCCAATCATGTGTGACGCTAAACACAAGACAGACTTCTGCCAGTACACTCTGAACACATTGTGGTTTTTACCAAAATGCATATCTGTTTCCATTTGACTTTTAAATACTTATTCTTTACTTTTCCCTGAGCATTTCACTTTTTTCAGAAGAAGAAGTGAATCTTACAGCCCTAATGAAGGACAAAATTTATAACTTTTTTCTGTAAAATTGATGCTTCCAAAGGAGTTATATACAGTTTCATTTTACTTGTTAAATGTTCCTGTGCTGATATCAAGAGCCTTTTATCTGTTTGCTTGCAGAAGTGCAGAGCTCAGAGGAATATGCTCAGTTGCTGAAGAAACTCATCAGAGCTCCAAATATACCTCCCCAGTATTGGCTCACACTCCAATATTTGCTCAAACATTTCCTCAGACTTTGTCAAGCCTCCAGCAAAAATCTCTTGAATGCAAGGTCTCTAGCTGAAATTTTCGGCCCTCTGCTTTTCAAATTCCAGATAGCAAGGTAGGTGGGACATCTTTATTATATTCTATATTGTAAACACGAGTTAGCTACATAGGAAAGTAAGTTGAATAAATTACTTCTCTGACTTTACTTTTGCTGTGCTTTCTGGAGGGCATTGTAAATTTTTGCAATGCTTTTTGAATGATACTAATGCAAACTTTTGTACTTTTGCTGGTTCTTATTGTCTGATCCATCTCTTGCAGCTCTGATAATACTGAACACCACATAAAAATCTTAGAGGTTTTAATCACAAGTGAATGGAATGAGAGACAGCCTGTACCAGGTAAAAATTGTTTGTACTTTAAAAAGCTATATACTCTTGTTTTATTAAATATTGAAATTCAAATAAGGACACTAAATGCTCTTTTTTTAAAATTAAACAAACTTAATGCAGAACTGCATAATTACAGAACTGTGTAGAAATGGTTTATATGTGTACAGTATTTGTTTTATAAGAAATTTTGCAGTTAAAATCATTTCAGAATCCTGCATAGTATAGAATGCACAGTATTAAGGAGGGGGATGTAGGAGGGGGCAAATTTTGACGATCTTACTTATCTCTCACTCTGTAGCCCCAGTAAAATTTTCTTTAAAGTACTATACCCCACAGGGATCATCTGAAGAAATTAGGATTTGAGCCTGTGTTTACCTATATGCATTTTTTAATCCAGAGTCTTGGGAGAATTATTTTTCAATATCAATAAACAGTGCAGAAAATATTAACACCCTATTCAGGAAAGTTATACTACACTTTTTCTGGCTCTGTGAGTGTGCATTTAGTTTAGTCAACAAAAAGTAAGACCCACCTCTAATTTATGCAAACCCCACTGTTTTTAAATCAAATATTTGGTATGAGCAAGGCAGAGTTGCCAACTCTGTGCAAAGGAAATTGTTAATGCAGGGGACTTTAGGTGGTAGCTTAAAGTAATCCTTTTTACAGCTTATTAACAAAGAATATCCTAACAAAGGGTAGGGCCTGGTGAACAGAGCATTAGGCATGTTGTAGCTCTCCTGCCTCTCTATTAAAAGTACAAGGTAAAGTTCATGTCAGTAGGATTTGCAGGGCTGTTTAAGATATGAAGAGCTGGAGCACAGCAGTAGCAGAACAGTAGCAGAAGAATGCATTGTTTCTCTTATTTTAAGTAGGTACACTGTATAATTCCAACCATAAACTAAAGAAGATCAGTTTTAAACGGCTGTGTTTTTTGCTCCTGCTGCTTTGGAAGGATGTTCTAACATCACAGGCTATTGTAATTAGGAACCTTTTCCAAATAGTTCCAATCAGCGTACATGTATTCTCAACTAGATTATACCTGTATGGTTTTGTTCAGATTTCTTAACAAATTTCTTTATTTCTTTAAAATAGTTAAAGCAGACATTTCCAGCACAACTGTATATTTTTGCTTCCTAATGTTTCATAAAAACCAAGAGAGTCCAAACTTTTAGTGCCTGCTTGTCTTATTTTACGAAGAGTCAGCAAATAACTGCTTATTGTTAAAGAATGATTTTACCCTTGCCGCATGTTATAAGCCTTAAAAAAGTAAAATACATTACTGAATCCCCTAATATTCTAAAGACTTTGATAATAGCACTTTCTGAAGTGATATGTTTGCAAACACTTTTGGATATGTAAACTGACATGGCCTGAGGCGTTGGTAGAGTGAGAAGCTACAGAGGTAGGGTCAAGAAGTGACAATTTCTCAAGTTGCACTTAGGAGATCAGTTAATTGCATTTAGTCTTGAGTTGCTTTATACTAGTGAAATATATAAGTGAAAGGTGTTGATGTTCGAACTGCCAATGAGGACAAGGAGTCTAGTCATCCTGAGAGTATCTTAATATCTGTTTCACTAGAGCCCTTGAAGAAATGCAGCTATATCCATCAAACTTATGAATGAATTAATGTTTTGCAGTTGGTTACTTTGAGTTCCCTCTGAGATTTTTCATGTGATCCATTACCAAAAAAAAAAAAAAACCTCCTTCCCTTTGTATTTCAGGGTCTGTTCTGGAGAATGTATTTTAGTAGAATATTTGCACATTTATTAATATACTGAAAAAATTTAGATACAGATTTTCAAACTTTGTAGCCTGTGGTTATCTAGATTCTGCTCTAAGGACTGTAAAGCACTTGAATAATTTTCAGAAGTTGAGTATTTATAAAATCTCAAATGATTCTTTACAGGATTGGGACACAAATCTGTTTTTTGGCTCCAAAATCAGTCACGTGATTGTCTTAACCACTGAGTTTTTATAGTTCTTGTAGAAGATTGAGAGACATATTTTTCAAAATTATCAGCTCCAAGGTTATTGTTTGTAGAGGCCTGACCTTCCCTCAAAAATGTTTTGATACATTACAATAAAGGAAGAATCCTAGAAAAGATAACTTATTTCTCATATAAGTGTTCTGAACAGAGCATGAAAACCTGTAATAGAATTGTTAAAAGTTCAGAACTTAAGACGTTTTAAACAGAAAATCATATTTGTTGAAAATAATTTAATGACAACTAAGTGATAACAGGCAAGCCAGTGCTGCCAGGGTTCTTTTCTTCTGATTATTTTCTCATCACATCACCCAATAATTATCCTTCTTACTTCCAAACAATAGAAAGTATGCAAATAGGGCTAACATCTTAAATTGGACATTTTATAGCTACAGTGATGCTATGCGCTCCATAGTGCAAAACCAGGAGTTATTGTTAGGCCCTTACTTGATTTTTTTATTGCACAACTCTGGACTGATTTTTCTCCTTGTCACAGTGTTCAGTGGGGAACTATGCATTTTTATATGTGAATTAGAGTATAGTCTAGCCCTGCGCAAGAAGTTAAAGTACTGAAGTTAAAATGTTTAATATGTGAAGATAGTATAATGTTGCAAGAGAAGTAGGATTATGAACTTGGTTGATGTTTTGAATAATTGGTGATGAAATCCATTTTTTGATTCCTACCTTATTCTTTGTAGCTAATCAGCCAAAGACCCAATGGATGATTGGGATGAGTGGACAAATTAGATGATATAGCATCCTTTTTTAACACCCCAACTTGATGAAAAGCCACAGAAACATTAAAGAGTAATGCTGATTTTTACAGAGTCAGAAACAAAGCGCATGTCTTCAAATATGCCATTTGAAACAGTAGTATTAGAAGAAAAAAAGACTATGCCTAAGTATTGGTTATTACCTAACAGAATCTGACAGAACAGGTTGAAGGTATGACGGTGTGTGTGCTTTTAGAAGTATACATTGAAAAATAGGCTATGAATTCTTTGTAGGGTTACAAGGTTGGAAGCTTTGAGTTCATTTTTGATGATTGTGAAGCAGCAGCAGGTCCCAGAGCCATTCGTGGGACCGTTCGGGGCACAGCCCACCAGCAAACCAGTGCCCAGGGCCCCTGCTGGGCGGCTGTCATGCCACGCCGGCACTAGCTCACAGCCAGCTGGCAGGTCGCCCAGGGAGAGGTGGGGAGACAGAGGGTTCGAGGTTGGTTTGGGGGAGAACGCAGGGAAATCAGGGTCCTTTTGGGGGAGCACTGAAGAGCACGGAGCGGCCCATGGCTGTGTAAGATGAAGGTGTGTCATTGCAGGGAGGTAGAGAAGGAAGGGGGAAGCGGTGGGTGTGGTGTGGGACAGCTGTGGCAACGCGGAGCCCCTGGGACGGTGGGAAGGGAGAGCCACGGGGGCCAGGACGAGCTCCTGCAGCCGCTGGGGCCACTTCCTGTCCTGTGGTGACAAACTGAAGCCTCGATGGCCCGAACACTAACTCAGGCTGAGCTGCTTCTACTACTACTAGGCTGTGTATCCCAGCTTATTCCTCTTTCCCAGGCGTATAAATAATATTGTAAATAATGGCTCCAGCTGTAAAATACCACAGGATATAAGCATGAAGAGGTGGGTTTTAGTATTCACGGGATCCTAGCTAAAATAAATGAAGTCATGAGCCTGCCTTATGCTTAACTGGTCAGTTGCTGGGGGTTTGGGTGAGAGTCCTAGCAGTACAGCCAAAATGCAGACGCTTTGCTTTAAGCTGAACAAAATATAGCAAGCTTGATAGAGTAATAGCCAGAGCACAGGAATGTAAAGGCCAGTGCTGTTCCTCCTGAAATCTGCCCCAAAGCTCCCCTTGACGGCACTGGTCTGGATCAGCCGCGGTCCTGGCTTGCAGTGTCTCAGGGGTGCAACAGAATAAGCAAGAATGTTGTGCCTTATCAGAACTTTTTTGCATAATTTTGTAAGTCTGGCTGGATCATCAGCCAGCCCTAAGAATATTTTTGCATGTGCAGAGAACGATCTGTCAAGGAAGAATTGATTTTGTACGGTGTAGTGCGTGTCTGCTTCTCACCCGGCAGAGGGCCCCCCTTCTAAGCTAATAAAAATCATGTGCTTTATACCTGCTTTAACAGGGAGCAAAATACATTGTTAATAATTTCCAGCCCTAGCAATACTGAATTCTTGATTTAGATTTTGACAGTAGTGTATACCTTACATTTCTTAATACCTAATTAAAAGTATTTAGTGAAACTGAAGCAACATGTATGGCATTGTTAGTTTTTACAGATTATATGTGTGTGTGAGTGTATGTATGTACATATATATATATATACACATTTACATGCGCACACACACAAACCTCTCCATGCCGATCAGTTCCTTGTCCTGCTTCATGCAGCGTTTTTAGAAAAAAAATTCCTTTATAGACCAGAAGAGCGCTTTGAGTATGGTGCAAAAAAGTAGTAGGCCCCTGAGTTTCTGCAAATACAAATCTATAGATTTGATGAGCACCACTCAAGGTGGTGGACTCTTAGTTTTGAATAAAAGTTAAGATGGGGCAATTGTGTGAAAAGGTAGGTGTTTGCCTGTCAGTACCTTTTTTTGGCCAGACATGTGATCCCACTCGTTTTTGCCCAGGGCGCTGAAATCAGAAGAACCCCCTGGTCTTAGGAACACCCTCAGTAGTTTCAAAAGCTTATCTTTTATCTCTGTGTAGGTAGCAGTGCTTTTTAAAATAATAAACAATTAAATGAACCAGAGTTTTGTTTGTCATCAGTAGCTGATTTCCCTTCAGAATGCGCTTGTATACTGTGGTCCTATAAACCAAAAGTGTTATCACCCTTTTCTGTAAATTTTTAGCAGTAAATAGGAGGCATATAAGTTATTATCAAAAGTTGGATTTTTCTCTTCTCCTCCTGGGTACTGTCATTAGTTATGAAACAAGGATTACCAACTCTGAAGTAGGCTGTACTTTTATGATTATGCTACTTTGAATTATATATAGAACTGACAATTGTTTTAGTAGGCAAAGGCTAAAACTAGAAAAGCAAGGAATCATTATAGGCGAAACTGTTTAATCAGCTATAAAACACTGAAAATATACTGCAGATATTTGGGATTTTGTTGTGAGGCACGAGTGGTTTTTTAGTAGGTTTGGTAGTTTGTAGCACAGGACAATTTTGGTAAGTGGAGTGTATGGGGAGGGAGATGAAAACTTTTCATTACCATTTGAGTTTCATAAGGGAGCCGCAGCTGATCTCAAGGAAGACAGCTGCTAGAGGTTCTCACTGCTTCCAACAGCAAGTTGGAGGAAAGTATTAAACCCCTTCCTTCCATTCTTTGAAAGGAATCCTTTGGTCTATTTCTCCTTTCACTTTGAATTTTTCCATGTAAAAGTATAGCTGGTAAGGAAGTTAGCTGGTGCAGGCAGAGGGGAGCAGGCTCTTCAGTTGCTGCTCCATTTCTTCAGCAAGTGTGATACTCTACCAAACACTAGGGCAAGGTTAATACATATGAGCTAAAGTGCTCCCTCTCCGTACAGCCCCTTTTCCCACCCGCCTGACTAAGAAATGAAAAGAAGAACCCTGAGGTCCTGGAAAACACCATGGATATGGACAGGTGTTTTTTCTAGCGTTTTCGGTTCATCTGAAATGGGTGAAATGCCTCACCACTTCGTTCTAAGGGTCTTCAAGCAACACGTGTGTTTGTGGTCCCGCACGAGTGCGTAGGAGGTGCTGCTGTGCTTGCAAGCAAGCTGCTTTGCACAGGGCTGTTCTGAGAGGTACAGCTCTTTTCAAGGAAGATTTTGATTCTTTTTTTTTTTCTGAACTAAGTTAGCCACTTCCTTTATTTGGCTGTTCATAGTGCTTTTCTCGACTTCAACACTGCACTCAGCAGCTAGTTACAGAGACTATTTTAAGACCTCTTACAATGGTCTTCTCATTTACTTAGCTAAGATGAGAAAGTTAGTCTTGCATTGGCCACTTGTTCGCTGATTGACAACTTTTCCTTTGAATCTGGCTCCCCCTCCCCCACCTGAAATCCCTGGCTCAGCAAATATTTGAACCTGCCCAAGTTAATCATGAAACTGAGATCATTATCTGAAAGAGACGTGCAAGCTACTGAGGGTGGTTTCTTTCCTTCCTTTTTTTTTTTTTTTTTAACAGTACTAAAGTCAGGTTCACTTTTTAATGATGAACCAGAGTAAGTGGATACCTTCTGCACAGCACAGAGCTTTACCCAGTCAAGAAGAGAGAGAAGGCTTGGATTTTCTGGCTGCATGTTACAGCTTTTCTAGTGATTTTTATGAAGCATTGTTTGGAAAGCATAGCCTTTTTTTTTTGAATTATTTTTTGCTTAGTTGCTTCAGAGAAACTTCCTAATAAAAAGATTTTTTTTCTTCTAGAAAGGTTTCTATAAGAGGAAACCACTTAATTTTTCAGGTTATTGGATTGTATTTTCAGGCTGTATTACAAGGGCGAGCAGTTGTGATGCATAATTTACAAAGTAAGTGATTTTGAATTTCTGTGTGCTTTCTTCATCACCTTGTGGAAGTACTTTACTGTAACTGATTACCAGGCAGAGATTTCATGGTCTTTAGATACGTGAAAGAAAGTCAAGTGCCTCAGTACCTCTCCAGGTTATACAGAGGCAATGGAAAATCACCTATCCGTCTCCTGCCTTTTCCTGCCCGCAAGCTGGGCTAGTTTGAGCTGAGCAGTAACCTAATTATACAAGTGTGGGCAGTTCAGAATTTGGCCACCAGTGAAACCCTGGAGACTTATTTTTTCCTGAAAGCCTTTATTCGATGGAATAAATAAATCTTACTGATCCCCCGTTAAACTTAAATGCAGCAATATAGTCTTTGTCAGAAATCTTTAATAACCTAATTTAAGTAATTAACCATGGCAACTCAAGTGTTTGGGTAGCAGGTGGGCTAAACCTTCAAGTTCAGTGTTTGGACTTGTGTCTGGAGTGATCCTAAGTATCTTATTACTCTTTGGAAATGGAAGGAATCTTTGGAACATGTCTACCTAAACAGGGAGGGGAAAATGAATTTAGGCTTAACATATAGGCAAACTAGCATGTATGTTTTTGTTGCTGTTGGTACTCCAGCCATGATCTTACATGTCAATGCTTGTCTAAAGTGGATGAGCTAGTGAGGGACACAGAGGGAGGATAGATAATGTGTGAAATATTTTGAAAGGGTATAAATTGTGTTAATTTCTTAATAAGTATTTGTATGATAGAGCACATTTCAGCTGCACCAAGATTTCTTATGATGTAGGCTCTGAGAGCTGCTACAGTTACTTTTTGTTGTGGTTACTTTTGGCATTGGTTTTCTGCCCCCATAGATTATAGTGAATATAACGCGTTCAGATTGCTCTGGAATTAATAGTATATTCTGCGCATGTTTCTTCCAAGAGGTCTGAGGGTTACAGCCAGTGATGGGGGGTGATTGAGAAGGAATATTTCTAAACAGTAGGAGGATACTGATGACATAAACTCAAGTTAGGAAGAAGACATTGACAAGGACTCTTGCTTTTAAAAACAATTAACATGATAAATATCTCAAAGAGAATAGGGTAGAGAAACAGTGTGAAAAGGCAGACTAAATCTTGTATCCTGACAGTCTGGCTTTTTATGTTCACCAAAATCATTTTTCAAGGTCTTTCTCAGTTCTGATTTTCTTCCATGCTTTAGGAAAGTCTCAGTAACATCCTGAATGCAAGATTACAATATTTGATTTTTAGATTTCAAAACTAGTTAATACAGATGATTACTATTGTATTGCATTACAGAATGATACAGAGAGAAAAGACATCTCTGCAATAAGTATGTTTTATATGATAATATCAAATGCATCAGACCTTTGTGTCTGTAAAACTAAAGAAATTTGTGAAGTTTAAAAACAATATTTCATTATGTGGCTATATGTGTGTATGTACGTGTAAAACAGATATATACACACACACGGAGTCAAGCTCTTATTCCCTTTCCCATTTTTTTATATATCCAGTGGGTGCACGTGCTTATTAAAGCTTTTTGCATGGGATAAGCTTCAGGCATCTGAGCAGCATAATGAAACTGAGAAGTGACCTACCTAGCTATAAGCGGAGCTCCACTGTGTGTGAGTGTGCATGTGTTGCGTGCGTGTGTGTGCGAAAGCTACGTGCTGCAGCATATCAGCCTTTTGTCATCCTGCCAGGACTGGACTGTACCATGCAGCAGAGAGTCAGGAAAATGAAACGGAGATGTGTGTAAGGGGAGCCCGCTCAGCCTTTCTGCTTGTAATACCAGGTTTATATTGCAGTTCGGCTACATGTAGATTCTTTCTGAAACCGAAATTGTTTTAAGATTAATGTAGAACAAAATGATGAAACAGGAGTGGTCTGGTGACATTATTTTGACATGATTGGCTGAGGATTATGATGTAATAGGTTACAGTGCAGCCCCTTATAGGTTTTAAAATGAATTCCAAGACACCATTACAAAGGGAGCCTGACTCTTTTCTTATATCTGAGCTTACTCAGTGAAACTCATACAAATGTACAATACTGTTTGGAATATGGAAGAACTGGATATAGACTATCCTAAGACAGATATAAATTGTGGCACAGACTTGATGTTTTACATAGAAATGGATCCACCAGGTAAAACTGCAGTCTTATTATGGAAGGCTAATTCATTTTGGTCTTTATGATAGCTGCTGAAAAATCCTTAGTGGATATTTAAGATATATTTACTATGTAATTGATACAAATAGTTTTCCTTTTTCTTTTTTTTCCTTCATAGATTAGAATTAAATTGTGATTTCGTGCATGGTTATAGTAATTAGAATCGTAACCTGTAGAAATACCTGTCTGCTTACTTAATTGAATTTTTCCTGAATTGACCTGTTTCTGTTTTGATTTTTTTCTGTCATATGTAGCTCTAGCTCTGCTATCATATTCTAAGAATGTTGCGTTTCTTTTATTATTATTTTTGCTATGTCTGCTCCACATTGTGGCTAAAAAGAGATGCTGTAATGACATTTGTATTTCCTCAAACAGTGATTACAAATCATTGTTTTGGATTGTTTTAGGAAAAACGGATTTTAAAATCTAGCAATATTAATTGAATTCCTGATATCGCATCATTTTATCATGTGGTATTACAAATATTAAGCTGTCTTGTCATTCATTGCAATTCTGTCTTTTGTAGCTGGTCATATTATACATAGAGGCACGTTCGTAACAAATGTTGTACTAACTAGAGAACTAAAAGAGCTGGATTGGTTTTTAATCCTGATTCCAATGTAGTCCCCCTTGCTAGTAAGCCAGGAGTGCTGCAGTATCTTCTCTGGCACCCACTGGTATCTGTATGCAGCTTTGACATTGAGAAAAGGGGATGTGGTTTTTAATCAGTACTGGCATTTGGAACACAATTTATTCTGTAGAATACTAAGATTAACACAATGGATATATGGGTCACAGATGGGTTTCTTAAAGTGGTTTGCAGCAAATCATTGCACAAAATGCTGAGGATCAGAGAAACCCAATTCTTCTAAAATGTACAGTATTGCTGTGGGTTTGCGTTTTTTATTACCTAGCTCCTAGATGAGAAAATAGCAACATTCCTCTAAGATCGTTACAGAGGAGGAAAAAAAGAAACTTTACCTGTTTTACTATTTATATTCACTTCAGTGGAAGCAGGTAAAAACAAACTTCGGATTTTTTTTTCCAAATGCTTTCTTGACTGGTGGGGGAAGGTATAGTGTTAGTTTGCTTAAAATATGTTATTGCAAGAGTAACATACTTTCTGAAACAGTACATTTTTCTTGTTGAATGATATTATTTCCAGTAAAATATCTTGATTCTCCTAGCACTTTTAAAGACTGTTAGTGATAGAAAGCTGAATTTCATAACCATTCATTTTTTCTCATTCATGTACTAGTGTATAGTTCCAAGGTATATACAGGCAGGTTTTCAATGACTTATAATCAACTTTTTTGTCCTTTCATCTGCAGCACTGCCGCCTAAGCCACCAAAACCTAATACTGTAACTAACAACGGTATGAATAACAACATGTCATTACAAGATGCTGAATGGTACTGGGGAGATATTTCAAGGTAAATCAGCTCAAGATGTGTATTTCTTATATTTGCTTTATATTCTTGCTATGTTATTTTTTATATATGTATTCCGTTTAAGTATGGAAAAATCGTAGTTCTAAGAGCCAATTTTAGGATATTTTCCAACACAAACATATCACAGCTGGTTTTGTTCCAAACATGACTAAAAAGTTACTGGCAGTCAATTAGAATGTAATATGTAAAATGATTTGGTGCTTGTTGTATTATTTTAAGACAACTGTGTGAAATGCTAGCATGAAAGGACAATACCAAGAAATAAGTATTTTCTTCTTTTCTTTCATCGCGAACCTCAGCTCCAGCCACAATAGTTAATAAGCCAGACTAACAAGTGCCATATATTAGCAACATTTTTAACTGTACTATATATAGGTACATTAGACCAGCACTTGCTTCTCCAATTGCTCAGGCTTGTATGAACAAGCAGAAGGACTTTTGCATGAATATTGTTTTGTTCCAGCAGTAAGAGGATATTGAAGATACCATTTTTTAATTCCATTTGTTCCCTAGTAATATTAAATAGGCTATTAATCAACAGCTTTTGTTCATATGGAGATCAAGAAGGCTCTTAAAAAAAAAGCAGTTATTTTAAAAGAGAAGAAATTAGAGCACAGTATGAGAAGAAATGAGTGAGAAGTAGCTGAAATGGTTACTTTTGCTTTCATTTTAGAGAAGAAGTAAATGAGAAGCTTCGAGACACTGCTGATGGTACCTTTTTGGTACGAGATGCTTCAACCAAAATGCATGGGGACTACACACTTACACTAAGGTAAGATAGTTACATTAGGTCTGTAATACTTGACAGTATACATGCAGTACTGAATCTCCAGTACCACGTTCTTTATGCAATAGTATTTGAAGTATGCCTAACTTTTCAACAAACTTAATTTGCAGGAAAGGAGGAAATAACAAATTAATCAAAATATTTCACCGAGATGGGAAATACGGCTTTTCTGACCCATTAACTTTCAACTCTGTGGTTGAGCTAATAAACCACTACCGGAATGAATCTCTAGCCCAGTACAATCCTAAACTGGATGTAAAATTACTCTATCCAGTATCTAAGTACCAGCAGGTAATTTGGTTTATTTTCTTTGTGTTCCACTTAAATACAGAGAAATTATTACAGCCTGAGGAGTCATTGATTATAAAGAAACTCACATCTGTTAGTATTAGAAAGAATAAAGTGGATATAAAGCTAGATTTAAAAAAAAAAAAACCACAAATTGCAAATAAATAATTACAACTTTAAATATTGCAGACACATCATTAAGAAATAAACTTATTATATTAATAAATTTCCCACTCATTGGCAATGAAATATATAATTTTCAGTACAAAGCTGCATGTTTGCAATGCAAAATTGTTTTTATTATTCATTTTGTTTTTGATTTGCATATTATATGCATATAGTATGTAATAGCTCCATATTGATAGGACAGATAACACATTTCCCATGTAAAATATCTGGGAATTTTTAAGCAGTTTTATCCAGAAAATCTTTGCAGTGTAATTGCTTCTCTATTGAATATATTTCCTTTTTCTCATCCTCCCAGGATCAAGTGGTGAAAGAGGACAGTATTGAAGCAGTGGGGAAGAAATTACATGAATATAATACCCAGTTCCAAGAAAAAAGCCGAGAATATGACAGACTCTATGAAGACTATACAAGAACATCTCAGGTGAGCTATGTTTGAAACCAGACAGAGAGTGGAGGTTATCTTCTGTGGATTTAGAAGAATATTACTGTAAATTCATACTGCCATCTTTGATAGCTGCCTCCTCCTCCTCCCTTCCTCTGCTGCTACAACCACCCAAAAGAGGAAAAGTGCTTGATGTGCTTGCTCAGTATAATGGAATTGCTTACTCATGTTTTAACCGTCACCACCTGCAACCTAACCCCATGCTTAAGTCTGACACCTGCGTCCAAAGCAAGCTCAGAACTCCCTTGATTTAGCAACACTTCTGCACACTGACCTCATCGAATCAAGCTCAGGTCTTCGAGACGTATCTGCAAGGGATCATTGTATTTTATTCTTAGTTTTTGAAGGGACTGATTTCGTCTACACAGAGTGGAGAGATGACGTGTAGATACAGTGCAGGACTGAAAAGCTGCCTTTATGCTTCTTTCATCTTAACCAATAATTAACCGGGTCTTGAAGTGCCAGCCAGTGGAATTAGTGCTGTTTTACAGCCCCACGATCAAGATGGCTTCCTACAATGTACAGGAAATATGCCTGAAAATGCTGAAGCAAGGTGCAGGCAACCTGAAAGTTGCCTTAAAGACTTAGGTTACATCTAGCTATGTAGGGGCAGGAGGACAGACTAGATGAATTCTTGAGGTCTGTCCAGCCCTATATCTTATAATTCTATTTTAGAAATGCAGCTATACTTTTAAGGACATTAGTTAGTACAAAGGGCAAAGTGCAGTGCCATAAGCCTCCAGTCATCACAAATAAAACTTATGTATATAAAACAAGTTTTGAAACTAGGCCTTTGTCTAGCAGTTTGCCTTTCTTGGAAAGCCTCATCAGTTAGCAGTTTGTACAGGCCTCTTTTCTGTGTTTTGTGAGGCTCTGCAGACAGAATGCATTCTTGGTAAAGAGATTTAAGCCATTCTGTTACAATATACTGAAGTCTTTCTGTGATAGAGGCCAATAAATCATCCTCTCTGTTTGATAGGAACTGTAATAACAGTTATTTTATTTGCAGGAAATTCAAATGAAAAGAACAGCTATTGAAGCATTTAATGAAACGATAAAAATATTTGAAGAGCAGTGCCAGACACAAGAAAGATACAGTAAGGAATACATTGAAAAATTTAAACGTGAAGGAAATGAGAAGGAAATACAAAGGTCAGTATTTGTATTTGCACTTCAGATTGTGTGTTTTTGAGGAAAGAAAGAATGCCAAGTATAGATCTACCTAAAACTAAAGCACGTTGGCAAGTTTACAGTTATTCAGGTGTAAGCTAAGCAAGCCTTAACTAGGGTAGATGTGAGCTTGCAAAACGTGCACCTACATCTAGAGAAATAATCCGTTCTCTTAAATATCTATATGAGAAAACAGCAGATAAATTTGTGAATAAGACCTCATGAGAGTATAACCTACCAAATTATTTCATTCAGAATTATGCACAACTATGAAAAATTGAAGTCTCGAATAAGTGAAATTGTGGACAGCCGACGAAGATTAGAAGAGGATTTAAAGAAGCAGGCAGCTGAATATAGAGAAATAGACAAGCGTATGAACAGCATTAAGCCAGACCTCATACAGCTGAGGAAGACAAGAGACCAGTATTTGATGTAAGTACCATTATGAATTAATAAAAATATTTTTTTAAGTTTGTTTTTATTGACATCTAACTTCTGTGAATAACAATTATTTTTATTTGTAATTACTGTGCAGGTGGCTGACTCAAAAAGGTGTTCGGCAAAAGAAGCTAAATGAATGGCTGGGCAATGAAAATACGGAAGAGTGAGTATTAAAAGATTTAAATATTCCTGGTATTTTGATTCATCTTACACAATAATGAGATAAAGCATATTTAATTCCAGGACCACATAGAGGAAATCTCAAGCCAAGTTAACAGTGAACATTGTTAACACATGGCAGCCTACGTAACGCAAGTATTAGAAAGGACTTTATCTCACCCCCTACTCTGCTATCGTTCAGAGAGGTACATAATCAGGTGACTATAGCAAAGCCCTGGAGCCTAACCAGAGTCTTTATTCTTACCAGTAAAGTAAAGATCATAAGCTGTTAGTATCTTGGAGGGGTGTTACATGGATGAATAAATGTTCGGAAGGCCTCAGGCACAGGCAGGCTCTTTCCAAAGTTCAAGTGTTGGTATCATGGAGCGGTATAGTGGTACCAGATTATTATATCACAGTGGTATCAGAGATGATAAAATTTTTATGTTGAGGAGCGGTCCTTCTCTGGTTTGTGATCTGATTAATTTTCTGGGAAGTAGCAGGATAGTATTCTGTCATTTGAGCAGTTCAGTTTCATTTATGTTTTTGACTTGGGCTTGGCCACTGAATATTTATCACCTAATTCCTGGACAAAAAGCAAAAGGCATCCAGTTGGTGAGAATGTAGGCCAAATGTAACCAAATGCAAACCATAAAATAATATCAAAAGTGACTTGAATTCACAATTTAAAATACTAAACAGAGAAGAAATGAAATAATATAAAAAACACAATGATCTGAGTGAAAATCCATATCAACATTGTCACCTGTACAGCTTCCTCTGCATGCTTTTTACACTGCCTGGCTCAGTGACATTTAGCAAAAAAACCAGATTGACAATGACTGTTTTGTGAGTTTGCATTCTAGCCTTGTCCATGTTAGTGGTCTATTTTAATTTGGTTTGCTTGCTGAGTCTCCTACTGTTATCCTGGAAATTGTGCGTCTCTGCTGTGGCTGCATTGGTAGAAGCAAGGGATAAAAATGGCACAGACGTTTTGAAGCCATGTTATTCAGCCAGTGCTAGCACAGATCAAAGATGATACAATGGAGAATATGTAGGCACCTGTTTCCACTTGGTATTCCTATCACCGAACAACTGAACAGAAAGAGTAATGCCAGGCCATTGTTTTAACATTGCATCAAACTAGTAAGTGAATCTGTTTAAAGAAAATCATTCTTTTCTTTAACTCTGTGACTGTCCTTGCCAGTGAATCTGATATGTATTCAGGTTTCTGCTAACAAATTAAACTTTTGGAACGTGACTGTTTTCTAACGTTATAAAGCAGATAAAATCAGTATAGGGAGCAGTAGAAGAAAATAGGAATCCTTTTCTTTAGGTGCTGGTTGAAGACAGTCACTACTGAACACATTTGATTATCTTGCAGGACAAAGGGGTATGATGGGATAAAGGAGCTAGATGGAGTGTCACATGAAACAAAAGAACACTCTCCTCTTTCTGAAAAATTGAATTCCGTGTGAGATTGCTGATTTGTGTAGACTATTTTGAGAATCTTCAGAAAGACAGAGCTGTGTATGAGTGGGAAGTCATGTTTTCTTAGAGGAACAAAGACTGATTAAATACCTATCAAAAAGAGAAATGAATATATTTGCCAAACACACATCGGTTACAAGCTGAGCTGGAGAGGAAGAGTGCACCAGTATAGGCTACTGGACAAGTAGAGAGTTCTGGAGCTGCAGAATGTCACTGCTGTCCACACAATCAATCTGGAGACGTCTTTTTTCATGACAATCTGTAGCTTGTCCATATAGCTCTGAATATTCTTTATAGTCAGTGGCTGCTTTGGAAGAGAAAACTCTTCATTATATGCTCTTCTCATAATTTGGTTATAAGGAGAGATACCACTCTATTATTTCACCCTTTCCACACAGCCATCTCCTCTATGAGTAGCTAATCTGTCTACCTGTACGACTGCTCATAGCATTCCCAAGCAGCAGCTGTAGTCGATATACTGCATTATTTTTCACTGCTGACCAAGTATTCTGATCTTTGGAAATGAAGCTGACTCAGAAGGTATTGATTTCACTGGGCTTGCTATTTACCAAAACAGCGAGCAACAGTAGAAGTACTAAAGTTCTCACAGTAGATTCTGAAAGATAACACAGCATCCTTTTATTTCCTTCTTCAGATTTACATGAGTATTTTTAAAAGAAACAAGGACCAGAACTTATATTTTATTTTTACTCAGCAGTTGAAGTGTTGCAGTATTACATGGTTTACATCCATGGTTTTACCAGGGAAGCATCCTACTAGCCATTCACTTACTTCTTTTTCAAGTAGTGTGAAGGGGGAAGTAGTTTGCTCTTGGTTTTTGCTCTGTAATATGTTTCATAAATGTATTTTGTCATATTTCAACAGCCAATACTCTATGGTAGAAGATGATGAGGACTTACCCCATCATGATGAGAGAACATGGAATGTGGGAAATATCAATAGAAGCCAAGCTGAAAATCTGCTGCGAGGAAAGCGAGATGGAACGTTCCTTGTTCGAGAGAGCAGCAAACAAGGCTGCTATGCTTGCTCTGTTGTGTACGTACCCTAATTTGTGAATGGTGCAATCATCGTTTGAGGCCTACCTTGAGCAAGGGGCAGATGTGTACTTGCATATGCATGGATCCCATTGGATCTTTGGGCTTAGAAACAGACTACCAAGCCCTGAGGCCACCTACTTTTGTTGCTACTCTTCCCTTTCCTACATAGATGAAACCTGTGGCACTCCCACAGATAAGCCTCATGGAGAGGAAGGGAAATTAGAGCATGGAATATCTCCTTTATGTGCAGCTGCAGCGTCCTGCCTGTCTACTGCCTTCCAAAGCTAACACAACATCTGGGAATTTTGGTTAAACCTAAGCTTTTACCACTATCCCAGTACAGAAGACAGGAATTCTATGTAGTGACTAGCATTGGAAGATTTTTTGCTAATACCTTATCTTCTAGCTAAACTTTGCTGTCAAACTAAAAATTGCTTTTCGTTTTCCTTTTTAGGGTGGATGGAGAGGTAAAGCACTGTGTGATAAACAAAACACCTACTGGGTATGGATTTGCAGAGCCATATAACTTGTACAACTCACTCAAAGAACTGGTGCTACATTATCAACATACATCACTTGTGCAGCACAATGACTCTCTCAATGTCACACTAGCCTACCCAGTATATGCACAGCAGAGGCGATGAAGATCTTAATACTCTGGGTTGTTTGGTTTTTTTTCTAAAGAAAAGATTTGACAACACTGAGGCCTCTGGAGAGAGAAGGCTCCTTTCAGCCTTACTCAAGAATTTGAGCTGCAGTATCAAAGCTATCTGTCTTCAGATGGGACTAGAGCTTTTCTTCACAACTGCAGTGGGAGAGATCACAGTATTAAGCTGTGAACGTATGTTTCTAATCTGAAGTGCTTTTTTTTAATTAAGAAAAGAAAAACACAAGAGAGAGAAATCCTAACCTGATCTCCCTGCAGGGACATAGAGGCCTTTAACCATGGTGCTTGTTTACGACCACTTCTGAAGCTTTACCAGCTAGAACGTTGGATTCTGCGGACCTCAGGTGTAAGAGGTCTTTGTGATCTGATTATCGGAATGTCTTGGTCGCGACCTGGTTTGGATTTGGTGTTGCTGCACTCAGTGGATCCAGACACAACGCATTGTGGATTTTTTGGATTCTGGTGAAAGATATGTAGCAGAACGGCACTTTCATTTATAAGGGACACTTTAAAAGGACTTCAGTTACAGTATGTTGTTCAGAGGAATCGTAATAGCGAAGTGCCAGGAAGTGTTTTGTTTAGACATTTAAAAACCCTGTTTTAAGAATATATTTAAGACTGAAGAAAACAGGACTTTCAATGGCATACAGTATATAATAATGTAAATAGTATTGGATGACTAACTATCATTGATGGAAACTATCAATACCAAACTGCTTCTCTTTTCCCTTTTCTGTTTGCTGAAAGCTGAATCCTTAGACCGTGCTATGCAATACTAAATTTTCTTTAGGCTTTAGTCCTGTCTCAAGCATATCTACAGGTTAAGCTTGTTTTTCTTTCTTCTTTCCTTGCTTTCTTTTTCTTTCTTTCTTTCTTTTGCCTGAGAATATTTTTCCTGATGATAATTTTTTGTTATTCATTTTGTTGTTTGTTTTTTTAAAAAGAAATGTACAGGAAGCCAGCAAGAGTTGGCTTCAGAATTAAAACTATGAAATATTTTACAATTTTCTTTGTATAGAATATTGAGCTACTAGCTCCAAGTTTAAAAAGTTCATAATTTTTTTTTGACTAAATATTTTGTTGGGCAGTGCCTGATAAGCTTCAAAGCTGCTTTATTCAATAAAAATATATGAACATTACAAAATATCATTGAGTCCAACAATATTGTTTCAGAGATATCCTTAGAATACGGTACCGTGCTATGTTTGCTTCATGAAGCATTTTGAACTTCTGTCTTGATTGTCTTTGTATTTGGAAGAGGAAAAGTTGTATATCCTTTTCTGATAGTGACTGCAGAAAAAACAAAGGAAAATTTGGCTATGAGGAGAGAGAGTTTGAATTTCAGAGTGAATCTGCTCTTCATAGTAAATAAATCACATCTTGACCTACTGTGGCAGAATTTTTGTTAGCATGTCAAGATATTTTCATTTCATATGAAGGAAGTTTCTCTAAACTGTTGCCTAGGATTTTTTTTTTTTTTTGTATTAGTGTTGTGAAAAAAGCGCTTTCCTTTGCTCAGAACAATTAGATACAACATAGAGCTAATTACAATTGGAAAACCTTTGTTTTAAAAATATCATCAGGCTGTCAAAGTTAACATTCTGGATTTATTTTCTTAAGCTTATGGACTGAGGCAATATCAAAGTGAACACTTTTACCATTCAGGCACCAAAGACTTACAGAATTGTGGTTCTGTTAAAGGAAACAAATATATGAATCCCACTAACACAAACTTATTAGGAATTCTGGGGCTATTCACTGTGGGTGGCTTGAAATGGTTATTAATTTCCTTAACCATACTGAGTAAATTCACACATTACAAACTAATAAAGTAATGATATTCAGAGAAATCTTGGAAAAGTTTTGACTAAATGAAGATAAGAGTTTATTCTTCCCTTGAGATGCAAAGGGAAAACCCATTACTATTAAAGGCAGTTGCATACACAATCAAAGGAGTAAGACCCACGGAGTTCTCTCATAATAGCTCCGTTTTAGAAATATATGTTTTAAGACAAAGTATGCAGTACTTATTAAGCTATTGGAAATAATAGGAAATTTGCCAGTCACCAATAGTTTTTATGTTATCTCTTAATTTTTACGTTATCCCTTCATTTCTGATGCTGTAAGGCTTTTGTTTTTATTTGGATTTTGTGCTATTTTTGGTGGATTGTTCTTGCTTTCCTGTAGATGTATTTTCTTACTGAAACTTATATCAGGAAACAAGATTCAATCAACATTAAAGTATCAAGATAAGTCATCACTTTAAAAATTATTGTGAATTTTTTTGGATAGAATTTTGGTCTTCATCCCTTCCCTTTCTCATTCTCCCCCAGTCAGGTGTCTCAGGATAGGAGCATGTGAATTTGGTTTTCTAGTAACTTTCTTCTACTATTACAGGCACCAACAGTTATTCTAGTGTGACGGTCATACTGCTGGGCTTAAAGTTACAAATTAGTTCAATATACAACAATTTAACACCTGTAGCAATCCAAAGTATTCCTCTGATGTATATTAATTTTTGAAATTTTAAGCATAAAATTGTACTTTTTTCTCTATAGGAAAATTGTACGCAATTGGAATTGATGTTTCACTTAATATTTCTCAAGAAATTTTATGGTAGTTTTGGATCTAAGTTTGGATCTAAATTTTTAGCATGCCCAGCCTATTATGGGATACCGTTTGTTCTTCTGTCATGCCATACTGCTTCACTTCATCTGTGGTTGTAGCGAAGAAAAACTAGTGTTTTTGCAAATTTGGCACTTGCTTTTCTTCCATAAGAAACAGTGAGTCAAGCACTGCGTTGCAAGGATTAGTGTTTAGAGAGTCTCAAGTCCTGCCTGTGCAGGGTCCGTGCAATGCACAAGGATCACTTAAACCCTCAGAGTGGGCATGCGAGGGACTTGTGTGGTACCCAGGCATTGGGTGGCCTCTGCATTTCCCTTCTTCCACAACGCACAGCACCGCATCCTGCCAAAGGCCCTGTCCACTGCGGAGCTGTTTTTCCTTAATATACCATATTGCTCACTTCAGTTTTGATTTGATCTAAAACAGACTATTTATCAGGGAAAAAAAAAAAACAGGTGAATATCACTGAAGAAACGTGGTGCTTTTCTGTATTTCTATTGATATATAGTGTTTCCATCTAATGTGGTTCAGGAGTGGGATTTGGTTTAGTTTGGTTTTTTGGTCTGGGGATTTTTTTATTTTATTCTAAATCCCTGAGTTATGCTGTCCTGCAGCAGCACTTTCACAAGGCTTTTGAAAGGTATGACACACAGCACAGAGAACCTAGCACTCCCAAGCAATATGAGGAAAAATCATGCGAGTTTTTGATTTCTTTTTAATTTGAAATTTGAACGTGAAGGTTTGGGGGTGTGCGTGTTTGTGTGCGTAAGCACACACACATGCCATGTGTATGTATTAATAGATCCTAATATAGGCCCATTTGCACCAAACATAATCTTTTTGCTGACTTCAGTAAGTGACATCATTAGCTTTGGTTGCACACATGCACATACACACTAGATCTTGGTGTGTGCAGCATGTTTCCAAAAGCAACTAAAAGGCTAAGTTTCTGTGCTTTTTTTTTTCTTTTTAAAGCTTGACTGTATGGTTCACTTATCTAAGAAATCTTGTCAAACAATCTGTAAAACCAAATCTTCAAATTTTCTATTTGGTGTCAACTGTTCTGTAGTAAAGAAATGGCTTTGTCTTGTAATTGGCAATGAAATAATAATGCTTGGGAAAACCTTCAGATGCTTCTAATGGGGAAAACTTCTGCCGATTTTCACACAGTGCTTTTGCTATGCATGTTATTAAGTTGGGAAAGTGAAACCTGATATTATTTTTTTCAGGGTCACTTTAGAAATGGGCAGCTCAAAGCACAATGCCTCCCATGGGACAAGGTTCCAAAATGCAACATTTTATGTAGAATAATCATGTATTTACTGCAGTAGAAGACTAAACTGGACTGTGTGAGTTGGTAACGTTACGTTGCACTTGTCCTAATGAGACTGCATTAGCTGCCCAAGATGCTGCTATTTTTTTTTTTATTCTTGTTTTAAAAATAAAGCTGTTCTGTTAAATGTGTTTAAAACATTGAGATTACTTTGTTTCAAAATGGTCTTTGAGGAGGTGGAGGGTAAGGTGGGTTGTAAATTGCCTTTACAAGGCAACAATGAAAACTTGCCTCCTTGAAATTTTGTTCAAGCTATAGAGTTGATGGAGCTGTGTCTTGTTTTTAAGTTGCTTTAAAAATTGTACTAAGTCTTCAAGCAGAATAAAGGTTGTTTTGAAACTGCATTTCAGTTGTTGGGGCTTCAGTAAGGACTGATATGTTTATTCAACAGACTCCTTTGCTGACTCTTCCTGCTTAAAAATGAGTGTCTTGCTTTAAAAATGAGACCCAAATGCCCGTTTAGAGGGAACTAGAAAGCAAACAATTTCAGCTGAGTCACAGCCCTCCTGTATATTGAACTGAATGGAGTAGCTGAGTAGCTCCAAAATAAGCTCATGCCGAATAGGGCCAAAATGACAGTTCTCATACTCCTGCAAAAGCAGTACAATATTAATGATCTATAAATCTACCCTTTTACATTGCAGATAAAATGCTGGCTCTCCTGAAATCAGTGCGAGTTCTGTCACTGATTTCCATGAAGCCAGCCTGTGCATCTTTGTATCCAAACATCATTTACCAGCTCCATGAATGTACCTGGTTGTGAAAAACAATGTGAGAATGAAGAAGAGGGAGGAAGTGAGGGGGAACGGGGCAAGACAGAGTCTAAGCACTGTTTTCTTCCACTCATCGTTAGAAAGCAGTATCTTAGTTTCTTCATGCCCATTTGTATTTTGCCTCAGGAGAGGTTCTCCAGGGATGTCAGGCAGGCAGTCTAGAAACGGAAAGAGATCTCTATTCCTGTTCTATCCAAGTTTCCATTCCAAAATCTGCCTGTATTTTGCTCACTCCAATGACGTAATACCCATGACTGGTATCTGGGCACCACAGAATTGTAGTAGTTATTAATAATTACTAATAACTAATAATTAATAATGACAGCATTGTCACTAGGCCTTAGAGGTTCTTAATAAGAAATACTGATTAAAGGCTACTGTTACAGTTTTGTTCTATTTAATATAGAGTCATGTTAGATCTCAGATGAACGTATTTGTTACAATTTTTCTCAGTTAGTAAACTGATTGTTTTAAGTAGGCATTATTATTTTAAACAGTTGAGCTCTTTTCTGCTCCCAGAATCTATGTTTAGCAAGACAAACTCCTCTGTAGCCGCAGAGCTCAAGCATCTAAAAATAAGGTTAGTTAGGTCATGAATCACACATCTTCCATCATCAGCTATTGGGAGAAAATATGACTGGTTGATCATAATCTGCAGAAGTCTGCAGACCAGCAGATTTCTGGCCTGTAGCGTACATTGTATAGAAATCATACTTGGCAGACAGTGGAAAAAATAATTTGCAAAAATGTCATTCTATTTTTGTTTGCAGACAAACACACTCCCACTTTCCTTCCCTGCTTTCTTGCTGAGATTCGATGGTCACTTTTCACTGGCTATATGAAAAGCCACGCTCAATTAAATTTATCTTTGTGCAGTTACAAGTGGGTGTGATTTTTTTAAAGGCTTAGGAATGCTTTTTGTATTGTTTTCGCCCCAAGTCGTTTGACTTGTGCTAAGCCATGCGTGCAAATAATTTCTCCACGCAGGTCCCTTTGCCTGAGCTGCGAAGCCAAGAAGGAAAGAGGTGGCATTCGGCTGCTCGCTCTTGGCTTCTGCAGGCTTCATTGGAAGACCAGGTGAAGGCTGTTCCTGCCTAGGGCTGCACAGCCAGTGATAAGGCAGCAGCCCCTCGGGGGCCTTGGGTCCTATCCATGTGTAAGCGTTTAGCGCTGGGGCGAGAACGTACGCGTGGCTGCCCTCCGGTGCCGGCGCACAGCCAGGCGCGGAGCCGACGGCCCGACCGTGGCTGGCAGGCGGTTTCCTTTCCTGCACCTTCACCCAAGCCAGCAAACCAGGCCCGCAGCAAGCCACACATCAGCCTGAACCAACTGGCCGGGGAGCAGGCACCGCTGTTTGCGCGGGCAGAGGTCTCCGCGGGGCAAACAGGGCAGCAGCAGACGCACGGCGCCTGCCAGGCAAAGCAGGCAGCCGGCCGAGGCCGAGGTGGCGCACGGACCAGCACCACAGGCGGGCCTCCCCCACCCGCTGCCTGCCTCCCGACACCCCGCACGGCTGCTCAGCGCCGCGTGGCGGCAGGCGGGCGGAGGACGAGGAAGAGGAGGAGGAGGAGGAGAAGGAAGGCCCAGTGACACAGCCCTCCTGTGAGACCGGACTGAGCAAGGCTAGAGCAGCAGCGGGACCAGGCCCAGAGTGGCTCTTCAGCCTCCCCACGTTGCTTGCGGCATGCCCCAGCCACAGGACCACTGTCCAGAAATGATCCATATGTAGAGATTGGTAGCTAAGGGACCGATAAACAGAATGAAATCCTGTCTGCTTCCCTGGCTGGAAATATGGGAATAAATAACCAGTTCTGCTTTTCCTGCAGGATGGACACTCGGGAAAGCAGGATCAGACATGATTTCGGCCAGACTTTGGTTGCACAAAGGATATCAGGCTTTTCATAACGCCTCTGACACAACCGAAAGCATTAATTGTGGGAGCTCCACTGAGGACACAGTTCTGGTAAATCCTTTTTTCTAATCTCTTTGAGGACCTGTGTCTTCAAATACATAGACTGCCAGAAATAGAAACTCTATGGAGACTTTCTGGATTCTGGGTAAACAGGTATCATTCAATCAACCACTATTCAAACTTTGCCTAGTCTTTGTGGAGACCAGAACTTTAACCTCTGAACAACAATCAGATAACCAGAAAAGTCCTGACAATTCTTTGAAAAAATCAGAGTTTTTACCCTCTGCTGTGTCCAGACCATACTTCCTGCCAGAGCTGTAGTACGAAAATGCTTCATGCCTTCTTTCTCCGTCCTTTCTAGCATGAAGAAATTACCTTTGCCTAAAAAAAAAAAGGAGTTTAGGCCACTGATTTAAATGTACAAATATTTCCAAAAGAAAGATTTAACAGGTAGCACACAAAAGCATTTAAACCTGCCATCCTCAGGTGTTCGAACAAACAATATTGACAGAAATAGACATGAATATAGTTTATTCAGATGATGGTTTCAGTATCATATGTCTGGTATTGCTGAATACTAAGAAAACTGTTTCTTCAGAAGAAAAATAATGAATCCATAACTGAGGACGTTTCTCCCTCTACAGATGTTTGTTTATTTTTTTTACTTTCTTTTCTCCATAAACTTTGTGCTTTGTGTAAAAGAAATGTTCCATGAGGGTTGCTGGATTATTTCCTCCTAATTTTTTTCTTCATATTACAAGTCACCCGAAGTACTTCTGCAGAACTGTCTACCTGGAATTAGGTAAAATAGACACACTGAGGCAACGTTTTTTGTGCTATGCCTGAAGGGAAATCCATGGTTGCTTTACGTGACAGGGTGGTACATCACATTTGCCTTTCCAGTACCCAAGCACTACTTCATACTGATACTGGCTTTCTCTCTGTTCCCCAACCTGTCACCCCACTCAAGGAAATAAGACTTAACCTTTACCTACCCAAAAGCTTGCTATAGCAATTCTTAGCAGCTTTATGTTGTGAGGCTGATTGGGAGTAAAGACCTGAGAGAGCCTGAAATGAAAATATTACAGGAATGCAAATCCAACAGCTGTCAGAGCTGGAGCCAGCCATAACAAACCAGGGGCCAGAGGTGAAGGGGACAGCCTTGCATCTCTCACCACAGCCTCTGGGCAGGACACACACGGCAACACGCTGAAGCTGGGGTCACAGGCGCCTTTCTCCTTCCCTGTGAAATCCATGCTGGATTGATATTCTGTTGGGTAACGGCTGCCACTTAGAAACAGCAGCAATTTACATGCACATAACTTGCAACACTCTCAACTCAAGCCTCCCCTTTGGCTCTTCCTTCTTTCAGGGAGACTGAAATTGGACATTTTGAAGTGGGATTCATCTAACCTAATTTCAAGCACCTAGAAGGAAGGCTTATCATGTAAGACAGCTGGCAAAGCTCTCTTCATAGAGAGAGACAGGCAATTCCTCAGGGTGATTCACCCCACCTACCTTAGGCACTATTCTTAGGACAGAGTGACTCATGCTCTGGAATCACTCCATTGACTGTAGAGGGAGCCCAGACAAGAGGCTTATACCAGACAAGTAACTTTAAGGTGGCTAAGTCAGACGAACTCAATCTCTCTTTTGCTGATAGACAGTTCAGTTTTAATCCCTCCGATATTAGCTGTGATATCCTCTGCTCTTAGCCATAATGAGAAGGGACAATTAATTTGTGTTAGGAAGTTCAGCTGGTTTCTAAAATTTGGTTCTTTCATAATTCCTCTGAAGATGGTAGAAAGGTTGTAAAATACGCTGGATTTTATTCCTCTCGGAGCTGTAACGCTACGACTCCGTGCAGAGGAAGGAGAATGAGTAGTAATACAGGGATACTGATAGCTTCTGTGCCTTCTGTTCTCTTCCATTGGCCTTGCAGGAGCCTAACCAACTACCTATCTATGTGGAAACTGGAGAGCTAGCTTTTGAGGAATAATCTGGCCTCTTGCCAGCCATGTGATCAGCTGAAGAGACATGGCTAAAGAAGATGTTGCTGGTCTTTCCAAGTGAGATCAGTTTGTTAATCACCACATCTATATTTTCTTTCTTATGCAGGGGATACTTATGGAACTTGATTTTCTTTCGTTCCAGACCATCCCTAGCCAAGAACACAAGCTACAATAGTAATGATAATAAAACAAAGAAAGGAATGACTTCAGTCATATTACCTCCCAGCCAGACTGAGCTCTATCTCAGAGTGGGAGTACTGTGTGAGATTCCCCATGCATCTACCTACTACTTCAACAATTCACAAAGGTGGCAGGCTCTACAATATCTCCTGGGTGCAACACTGCATGTATAGTACAGTTCAAATGAGCATTTTAGTGGAAAATGCTCCGCCATGAAAGGTCTGCAGACTGCCCTGGGCGTTTCCCTGTGCGGTGAGGCAGAAGGTGTGACCTTGCAGAGCCCCAGGGTCTTCAGCAGGTACAGTGACTTGTAGGATCAGGGTCTAAGGCAGTAACAAAATTCTGGGGAGAAGCTTTGGAAGACTTAGGATGAAAGAGAAGAAGCTGCTACACAAGTATCTGTTGCGCTACTTATAGCAGGCCATGTAAACAAGAAAACTGTGGACTGTCTAACAACCAACAAGCAC